CTCACATCCGCTTCCCAGAGGCCCAGAGTGACCAGGGAGAGAGCACAGCATTTATCCACCCCAGGGAACCCACCGCGTGCCCCAGTGCATCGTCTCTGAGTCTCGGTGTGCGGTCCTACCCTCTTTCATTTGGCTCCAAGAAGAAGGCCTGGATAAAACGCACTGGAGAAACAGGGCTGAGTAAGTGACGCTTCCCAGAGAGAGCCCCATCAGCGTGGAGCGGATGCACTTGTGGCCACTCTCCTCCTTGGAATTCATACAGAATTCCATTATCAGTTCTGGACAGCAGCTCAGGGACCATCTTGTCCCATGCCCATTTGACAGATGAGAAAGCTGGAGCCCAGCAGGGGAGCAGAGGGAGCAGAGCTGGGGCTGGAATCCGGCTCCCGACACCCAGAGCAGTGTTCCTTCCTAACACCACGCAGTGAAGCCTGCAAATACGATACCCCGCCCTCTCTTTACAAATGTGCAGAGGGAGGCTCAGGGCAGCTCTGCCAGCCACCTAGGGTCACACAGCACTGAGATTCACACACAGACACTGGTAGCTACCCTCCTTCCTGATGGGCAGGGCAGGGTTGAAATCTGGAGGACACCAGAGCAGGCTAGGGAGGACCGAGAGGACCAGAGAGGGTGAGCCTGCAGCCCCCACCAGCTGGACCCATTATGCCAAGCCTGGGGCTCCTCGGGAGGCAGGCAGTGAGCCACATGAATATGGGACCCTCCCTAGCTCCTCTTCCCAGTGACTGTGTGGCCTTGAGCCAGTCATTTCACCCCCATCCGTAAAATGGGCCAATAATAGAGCCTCCTCCAATGAGACCATGATGAGGTTTAGAAGAGTGAAGATAAGTAAATAAAAATAGTCAACCTTTATCAAGTCAAGTCACTGTGTGTCAGGCACTGCTCTGAGCACTTTACAGGTACATTATCATTTAATCATCATCACAACCTTCTGAGACAGGCCCTATTAATAGCCCCATCTCACAGATGAGGAAACAGAGGCACAGAGAATCACACAGCTGGGGAATGGCAGAGCACGGATTTGAACTGAAAACAGGCTGACCCCAAACTCCTCTGTCTAAAGCCCCTGGCAAGGCTGGCTCTGTGAAGGGTAAGTGTCAGGACAGGGCCAGGAACGTGGAGCTGCTCAGTAATGTCGCTGTTGATACAATAATACTTATTGTTGTTGTTGGGGAAATTCGTCACCGGCAATGCTATCTTCCCACAAGTCAGAAGAATAAACATCCTGATACGTTTTATGAAACTTTATCATTTCTTCTCTTTAGAAAGAAAGGAGTAGCTAGCAAGTGGTCAAGGTAAATGCTTGTTGAACTGAAACATTTATGGTCTTTTTGAAAAAGCACAGAAAGAAGGGGGGAAAAGCCCATAGTCCTACCACCCTCCTTTCACTTTTCTGTGCATGTTTATTTTTATTTTGGTTCATACTTGTGAACATGCTGTGAGAGATTTCTGGATTCTGCATCCTTCACTTAACATAATTCCATGAGCTTTTCCCCCATATGATAATTTTTAATGGCTGCAGAATATTCCATCAAGCAGTCTTCTTCTTTACAACCCCCTCCCCATTTTGTCCAGCTTGGAGTTTTTATTCCAGTCTATGATGCTGCAGCAAGCATCCCGGGAATAAAGTTCTTTCCTTATTTGATGTGACTTGGAGAAATGAATTCCTAACAGTGGACTTTCTGAAACCAGTAAGCCAGTGCTGGGGGTAGGGGTTGTTTAGGGGACAGAGAGCCCTTCTTGGTGTCCTAGTGATGGAATTGTGCCAGCCATTGTGAATTTCATCCATACCTAAAGCCTCCCCCCCACCCCTGTAGGTATGAACCTCACCTTGTGGGCTGAAGGTTTCTTCTTATCTGCTAAAGGTGCCCATGCCACCTTCCAGCCGGACGTCAGAAACAGGACCTTATCCTCAACCTGACACTAGTGGGCTATGGGACCTTGGGTACGTCACTTCTGTGGGGCCTCCGTCTGTCAGTTCAGGGGTGGATTACCTCTCCATCCTGCCCAGAGAGAAGACCTGATGAGAGAGAGTCCAGTCCCAGCTCTGTCCCTAAGTCACCACAAACCCTCAGTGTCTTATGAAGCTCTCTGGGCTCCGTTTTACTGTCTCTTTGCAGGAGACTGGAATGGTAGAACCATCAGGCAGGCAGATGTGAGCTCATGGGCACCCACTGGTCCTATTTACCCACTGGACCAGGCACTCCCAGAGGACAGAGATCCCAGAACCCAGCACAAACTCCAAAATATGGAAACACCATGAATAACTATCCACAACTTCCTCTGTGGCCCAAGATTGTTCCTGTCTCAGAGCCTTTGAACTTGTGAAGCCTCTGCCTGGAGCACTCTTTTATTGGCTCCTCCCATGGCTGCCTCCATCTCATCACTCAAGTCTCACCTCAGATGTCACCTCTTCCAGGAGACCCTTGCTGGCCGCCTTGTCCAGTACCAGGATTCTCCGTCACCTCACCCAGTTTTATGATCCTCACAGCACTGAACGACTGTTTGAAAGGATCTTGTTGACTTCAGTGTTTCCTTGTTTGGTATCCATCCACTGTCCCTTGAATGTCACCTCCAGGAGAGCAGGAATTAGGACTGTTCAGGTCACCACTTATTCCACAGAACCCCACAAACATGTGATTAGTGTATCCTGGGTGCTCCAGGCACAACTGTACACACAGACTCACATGGACTGAGTACCTACCATATGCCTGGCACCCTGCCAAGCCTTCTCTGTATAGCAACTCTTGCAATACTCCCTACAACCTGTGAGCTAGCAACAATTGTTATTCCCATTTTATAAGAGGGGAAATTGAGGCACAGAGCAGTTGAATAACTTGCCCAAGGGCCCATAGCTAGTAAGTGAGGGAGCTGGGATACCCTACTGCACACTGTGAGAGTGGGCTGAGCCAACGGTGGGACAGAGTCTCTGTCCTCATGAAGCTCAGGGGCTAATGGGCAAGCTGGCCTAGTCCTCAGTAGGAAGTCAGGGAGACTTCCTGGAGGAAGTGATGCCTCAGCTAAGTCCTGAGGACAAGTAGGGGTGAGCTAGGGTGAAGCGGAAGGAAGGACAACCTGAACAGAGGAAACAGTGTGGAGGCCAACAGACAGGTGAGAGAGCAGCAAGCCCAAGGCTTGTGCGGCTGGAGGAGGGAACACAGGGGTGTGCCATGTGTGAAGGGCTGTGGTCACCTCAACTCTCGGCGACTGAGGTTAAAAAAAGTACCAGAGGGCAAGATATGAGGCAATTTGGCTGGAAAGATGGGACCCCAGATCATGCAGGGCCTTGGCAAGATCAGGCACCCAAATTTTATTCCGAGCTTTCTAAGCCACACCTCAAAGACTGTGTTTAGTCCCTGACTCAGTGGTGCCCAAAGGCCACTGGAGTCTCTGGAAATTTCTGCTGATTCACTGTGGGACCTCAGGCACCTCCATGCCTTCTCTGGGTCTTAGTGTCCCTACTGGTATTGGACGACCCCATCCCAAAAGCACATCCCCACTCCATTAGCCTGGCATCCCATAACCAGAAAGCTGGTGACCAGTGAGACCTTGGCATTCCTAGAGTCTGATTCTGGGACTCGCGTGCACTGGCCATCCCATGCTTGCTGAGGCTGGCCCACCACCATGGCACTTGGCCAAGCAGCCTCTGGATGGGGGAGCTGAGTTCTCCTGCCCAGATGTGGGAGCTCCCCCAGGTTTTGGCCGGATGGTGGGGGGCTCTGCTCAGATCCTCCTGGAGACAAAGGAGCTGACCTGCAAAGAGTTCCAGCGGGAGCCCCGCTCCCCCTCCCTTCCCCCCTCTCCCTTCCCAGTCCACGTGTCTCTATTGTCTGCTCCCCGCTTCAGGGAAAGACACAGCCTCGGATGTGTCAAAACCACCACCCCCTGGCAGCAGGGAAATTAATTACTGGACGATTTTCACTTCCTCTTGCAGCGCCCGCCTGAGCTAGGCACCGGAACAGGACTGGCTGAGCTGGGCGGCATTGGCATGGAGGACTTGCTCCCCCCACCAGTTCTGGGAGAAGAAAGTTGAACCCCAAACCCAATAGGGGCTTCAGTAGGAGGCCAAGCTGGGGTGGGGGGACAACTTCCTCTAGTTAAAGCTGAGTGTCCACACTGGCCACTTCAGAACTGGGGGAGAGGGAGAGGACTGGAGGCAGGAGGGCTGCTGGCGAGCTCACACTCTTTTCTTTGCGTCCCCTTCCCTGTGTCCCCATGTGCCTGAACCCCGCCTGCACGACCACTCTCCGTCCTCTCCCCTCGGCTCTCCCTCTATCTTGCACTTTTCTTTTCCTTTCTTCGCATCCCTGGGGGGCTTTCTTTTTGTGTGTTTGGATCTCTCCTTTCCTGCCGTGGGTGCGTGTTGCTACTTCTCTCCATTTCTGTCTTTCTTCTCTCTCTGTTTCTCCCTTGTGTCTTTTTGTCCTTATCTTGGTCTCGCTGCTTCTGTTTCTACCTCTTGCAGCGTGTGTCTCTCTCTTTCTCTGTATGTCTCTTTCTGTCTTGCTCTGTGTATCTCCTCTCTCTCTCTCCCCGCCCCCCCCCCACTCCTCTTTCTCCGTCTCTCTATATCTCTGCGCCTTTCTCGCCCTCACTTTCTCCCCTCCTGCCTGCCCCCTGCTCCCTGCGCCTGGCCTGCCCCCGCCGCCGCCGGTTCAGGGGAACGTGTGCGGAGCGATTGTCCTGGGGGACATTTGATGGATTAGAGCGCCGAACAGTTCCATTGCTAGGGGACCACCTGATCTCCTCCAGCCTGCGTCCCATATAAAGCCGGCAGCCGGAGTGCTGAGCACAGCTCCAGCGATCGCCTGTCTGCGCGCCGCCGCCGCCGCCGAGCCCGCGCGGGAG